GAAGCAATTTCCAAAGCAATGATATTATGTCACAAACATACACATGTAAGATAATAATTATCTACATAAATAGATAGAAGTAAGTAAAAGTAAATAAAAATAAGTTAAATTCTATAATATTTTCTATAGAAGCTTCCTTGAAGCTTCATAGACGATACTTTGACTTTATAGGTGTCTATAATTGATTTTTTGAGTTAGAAAAGTAGTCAACAAATTGGCCATGTGCCACACATATTGTTAGCTTGAAGACCAAGCTAACTATATGGCCTACACGTAGAAAAACTTGCCTTGTAAGTCAAGGCATGTGTCCTACAAAGTCAACACATATTAGAGGTTCTATAGAACATCGCCATGTAACCCCTACTTAGATAGTATATATAGAGACAAGAGTGAAGCCGTCTTCACTCTTGTCAACTCCTTTCTTGCTTCTAGTCTAGTTTCAAGAGTCTCAAGTTTTCTTGTCTTTTAGTAATAAGCCATTCTAGTTTCTTTTAAATATATGTATATCTTTATTTCTATTTTGTCATTCTTTCTTTGACAAAGATTTCATTGCTTTATGCATCATCTTTTAGTTCATGTCCTTGACATATCAATATATTGATATATTCTTTATAAATGAAAGATTTGTATAGAATGAAGTTAATTATTTTATCTATGTAATATAATTAAATAAATTTTTGTTAATTTTTATAATATATATTGATGATTTAATTATCTTAACAATTATCTTTTAGATGTGAGATTAATTTTTTTAAAAAATTAAAAATAGAATATGAGATGAATAATTTAAAAGAACTTTATTATTATTTAAAAGTGGAGTTTATATTAGATTGTACTAAAAAGAATATTATAATAAGCCAAAATAAGTATATTGAAGAAGTACTAAAATAATTCAATATAAAGGAGTACAAGTCCATTAGAACATCTTTCAAGGCCAAATTGAAGTTGATGAAGTTTATAAATGAGGAATTTGATAAAGTTGAAGGTCAAATGCAAAGTATTCTATTTAAAGTAATAATAAACTTACTTATGTATGCAATGGTTGACATAAGGATATGTCTTATATATGCAATAAGTGTTGTGAGTCATTACATGTCAAAGGCTAAATCAATCTATTATACAATCATTAAAATAATCATGAGATATTTAAAAGATACTTTATTCTTTGAATTATAGCTTAGAAGTGATAACATTGCTTTGCATGGTTATTTTGATGTAGATTGGATTGAAAATATAAATAATAAAATATCAATAATGGGATATGTATTCTTTGTTTGAGTAGAAGTAATCTTATAGAATTACTAGAAACAACTAACAATTACAAGGTCCACAATGGAAGTAGAATACATGGTAGCAAGCTATGATTTAATGGATATAATTTAGCTAAGATAAGTTTTGGAAGACATTAGACTTGTGTAATTGGAAGCAGTTCAAATGAAGTGTAATAATTAAATATGCCTTACTTTTGCAAAGAATTGAAAGCATTATTTAAAAACCAAACACATTGATGTTGAATATCACTTTATGAGGAAGAAGATTAAAATGGAAGTAATTGACATAACATATTATCCATTAGAAGACATGCTTACTAATTTGCTCACAAAGATATTAGTGAAAGATAGACATCACATTTTAATAAAAGTATTAGTTTTAATAGCCTTTGATTAATAGTTGAGCAAAAGTCTTAAAATAAATCATAGGATATTTTTGTGGCAAGTGAAATACCAAAAGATATATTAAGTATATTTGTTGCTAAATGTAAAAGTCAAAAGATGGAAGTTATTTATTATGTGTCATAGACATGTATGTTTATCTAAATAAGAAGTATTAGGTAAAAAATAAATGCATGTAGATTTGATATTATCTTATGGCAAAGCTTTCTAAAAGCTTCATAAATAAGTATTTGACTTTATACATATTTATAGTTGATTGATAGGTTAAAAACTTGGCAAAGAACTTAGTCATGTGTTGGATATATGGATAGCTTATGGTACAAGCTAATAATGTAGCATGCATATATGAAACTTCTTTTATAAGTTAAGATATGTATTTCATAAATCAGACATGTATTAGAGGTCTTATAGAATGTTGCCACATAGCTCTTGGTTAGATAATATATATGGAAAGAAGAATGAAGCCTTCTTCACTCTTGTCAATGCCTTATTAGTCCTTAGTCTTGTTTCAAGACTTTCTAGTCTTTTTATCTTTGGCATTAGCCATTCTAGTTTAATCTTATACCATTTTTGAATAATTTTCTAGTCTATTTGAATGACATAAGAATTTATTAATCTTTTAATTCTTTAAAATTCTTATCCTTGATTTTATGATAGTAATCACCACCTATAAATAAAGGATGTTAGAAATAAAAATCATCTTATTTCATACTTATCTTTATATGCAACCTTGTTGATGCTAAGTATTAGAACTTCTAACTTATGTTTCTTCAATAATATAAACATATAGTAGTGTATTTGATTATTTAAAATAATAATAATAATAATAATAATAAAAGATAAAAAGAATAAAATTTTAAAAAATAACATTAAAAGATAAAACAACATTGAATATATATTTCTTTCATAGAGGTGTTGGTCACTTTGAGATTAGTTAATGAGACTGTAAAATTAATTGCAAGGCTAGCAAAAAAATTATTAATTTATTATATCTAAGATAAAAATATATTCATAATAGTTATACATACATGTGACTATGTATGTATTTCTTTCTTTACATGGTGATATAAAGAATCAACATAAATCTTTTATGATATATTATAAAAGGTTAAAATCCATGCCACTCTCAATACTATATATATATATATATATATATATTCTTTAAAAAGGTCAATACTATTTTTATATATTTCTTAAAAAAAGTTAGTATATAAAATATAAAATTTTCAATGGAATATAAAATTTTAAAATTTTAATTCAACTTTGCAACCATAGCCACGCATTCAACACACACAACTACATGTGTGCATGTTTTTGCACATACACAGACATAATCAACGTAATTGCTTTGTCAAAAAAAATAATAATAATATATATGCAAAATAATAATAATAATAATAATACAGAATAAGAACTGTAGTCATACATTATACAAAACTGCCCATAAAATATTGGAAACCAAAATTTTCACAATCTCATAAGTATATTTTAAACAACAGGTGCATATATATATATATATATATATATATATATATATATATAAGCAGTGAATTTATTTTATGTTCAAACTATATCACAGAAATCAAATAACCAGAATATATTATAACGATAAATTATATATAATAACATAAAAAAACGTCGGAGAGAGAAATCTGCCACAATCTGGACAAAGGTTCGGCAAAAATGTCATGAGAAAAAGCTTGTTTTTTCTTTTCTTTTTTCTCTCTTTTTATTTGTGGATGAATGGAAGCAATTCAGTAAAGAGTGATGAGTAATGAGGAGGTTAGACTGGGATCATGACCCATGGCCATGGACAACGCATGGTCTTGCGGAGGAAGGATCGTGAATGGACATGGGGCTTGCGTGGGAATACCCCCCCCCAATCCCACCCTGCCTTGAAAAGAAAAGCATCCCTCCATGCCTTCCTCGCCCCCCCTCCACAAGCATCTCGGGCCTGATACTGTGCCGACTTATTTACCCCTCCCTTGCCCACATGATTTACCCTGCCCGCTTTCTTTTCGCACCCAGCCGCCCCTTTTCACCTACTCCTCAATCAACGAACTCATTCATTCACTATGTCTCTTTTCCGTTTTATGAACGGATGAATGGTTGTCAACTCGTGCACATACGCACATATTGCAGACTCCTTATTCGTGTAAATATTTTTCAAATGATTGGCATATTGGATATGGATTTTACTTGAGTTTTAATTTTATTAAAAATGATTGTTTTCTTTCCCTTCTTCTCCCCCCCCCCTTTTTTCTTATTTTAAGTATCATTTTATTTTGATTGTATGCATTTATATGTGTTTAATTCATGTAATAACGATGCATGGGGGCACTCAGATGTTTGTTCCACATATGGCATCAACAAAGCAAGTACCCTTGTAGATGATACATGTAAATACAAATAAAATCTTTTCAATTTGAGAATGCATAATGTGAGCATTGTTGAGTTTTTCTTTGTTTCTTTACTATATTTTGCACGATTAATAAAATCCACTCTATTTACAACCGTTTGATTGATTTGTTTATTTATATTTTAGGTTACTATTACGCACACAAAACTTAAGAATCACAATGTTATTTGTGAACTGGTATCATCATTTTACTTTTCTAGTCTACTTACAATTTTACATTGCAACCCCAACAAAAGTTTTTTTATTTGTATTTGTAGTTTTTTTAAGACATTTTCTTTAGAAAATCTGACACTGCAGGGAAGGAACCGGTTCAATAAAACGAACCATAGTTTCCAGTAGATTAATAGATTTAAATTGTTATCGTTATTTATTTAATGATCCAAATGTTATTGTTTTTGTTTTTCTTTTTTTTTCTTTTCTAAAGTCTGACCTGTGCCCCCAAATCACGGCTTCCCAATCATGAGAGCCTATAACCGTACCCGTGATGAGGGGCGCAGGTGTGAATATGGACCTTGCCAGAGAGCGGCGTCGTGGGTGTGGACCCGAGGGGGGCCATTCGCAGCAGCGCCCGTCGGGGGACAGTCGCGAAGAACGCACAGTCTGACATTGTAAGGGTGTTGATGGGTCCCACTCGCATCTTTGACTGGAACTTGCTAACTAGATGAGTTGATTAGAAAGAGAGCTAGATGTGCGATTAGGCCCTAATCACATGCTGATTAGAGCGAGGTTACGAGGGGGGCTGGCTGGGTGCGCAGAGGAATCAGATGCGGGTGTGGCTCCTTCTCGACAGGCGGTCAGGTAAAAAGGGCTTAAATCATGGGTGGCATTCAATGCGGACTCGCAATGACTGCCGCAAGAAGAAATATAATAATGTTGGATGCGGTCACAGCGCTGTATGTATGTATGCAGCTAGGCCTGCGGATGAGCTCGGCAGGATGATGATCCTAGCAATCGCTGACGCCTGATCCACATAACAATTTGCCTACTAGCTGCTGCGGCCTACTTGCTGTGGCCTAGTAGCCGATAGTCTACCAGTTGGAAGCAGTTCACAGAGCTCTAGTATAATATACTACTATCCTTCCCATCTTGCGCTCTACTGCTCTGTGCACTTCAACATCTCACTGCCCTGCGTGTGTCGCAACGGTATCAGTAGCGGTGTCAGCAGCAGCAGCTAGTTTCTCTTTTTTATGTAAGCGGCTCAGTCTCTCACTTCGGAATGTGGTAGCGTCACTGCCCAATGAAGGTTCAAGTCTCGCCTGTGTACTGAAATAATCTGGCATGGGCGCAGAGAGGTGTAGTGGAGAGGAGTAAATGTTGAGAGAGTGAGAGTGCGTTCGGAACGGCTCGGAAGGCGATCCAGAAATTCAGTAAACAGGTGTGGTTGGCTGCAAGTAGGGGTTTGCAGAAACCCCGAGTTCGATTTTGAATCTTGCTGAGATTGTGGTTAAAGCAAAGCTTTAGTAGGTTCGGGAGCTGTGAGATGTAAGGTGATTGCCCCTTACATTTAAATTCTCCCCGTCTCAAGTATCTGTTTAGGGTGGCTAGTAATCTAAGCGTCAACACTGCATTGAACGGAAGCGTGTTTGATAGTTGAATTTCGTGCGTGTTTTACTCAAAAGAAACGCTAGAAGAAACGCTAGAAGAAACGCTAGGTACAAATTTCTGGCTGCAGTTCTGTGCGCTTCGTATGAGTTCTGTTACAAGGGAATTGTCAACTTTTATAAGGTTTGATTACCATGGCAATTATGGCACCCGCGCCGGATCAAGCGTTTATGAACTTGTACAGCAACATGAGTGGCGCGGTCCCCATTTTGCACCCTTCTTCGGATTCCAATGAGCTTTCCTCAAACCTGGAGAAGATCGTCGAGCATTCAGCCTGCGGCATATACCCTTACTCCGGACCATCCACTGCAAGCGCTTTGCAGTACCCTTCATGGCACCCCATACAGGAGATGCCAATCACGTCTAACTCCAATTTCGGTTACGGCGTGCCGGAAATCCAACGATCCACCCTAAGCAACGACAGACCCAACCCTAGTCATAGCAGGTTTTCCAGCACTTTGCCGCCTTCGTCAAGGGGGCTAAGTGCGAGCCGTGGCATCATGGAGGAAGTCAGAATGAGGGATGTGATTGGCAAGCCGGGGAGGAATTTGGGCGCACAGAGGCCAAGCTTATGGAGCTCGATGGAAACTGGGGGCATTACCGTGGACCCTTTCAGAGGTGGTCTGGCGTTGCATGGAGTACCGTCGGAAGTCGACAACTTGGCGCAGATCACTTCGGACTCTGCGTTTGTGGAGCGCGCTGCAAAATTTTCAACCTTCGGCACAAGAACTGGAGAATACGTCCCAGAAATGCTGCAAAGACCAGCTGCTGGTTTCGTCGCCGCAACAACCAAGTCGGTACCAGGAGACGTTAGGGAGGAATCGAAATGCATTGCGATAGATACCATTCCAGGTAAGCAGTCGGTGTTGGAAGCCGTTGAGGGAGCATCTAAAGTAACTGTGGATGCAATTTCAAATATCAAGGTCGAAGCAGCGGCGTTTCACGAGAACACCAACATTTCTTCCTGCGCAGAGCTGCAACCAGGTAGCCAGGGCGAGATCTCGCCGGACACAATCTCACCTGCTCGGTCTACACCTCCCCAGGATGAACCCGCTTCTCGCAACAAACGGAAGAAGCCATCGACTATTGACAATGATCTTGCGTCTCCCGACCCCAAGGTAACCGACTCCCCTAGGTTTCTAGTTGGTGTCTCATCAAGCAAGGATTCTGTTAAACTGAATCTTTTGGGATTAAATCTTATACATCGCACTAAGTTAAAGCGGCAAAATGCTTGTGTTATCCGTGCATCTCAGTATAATCACACTAGGTTTTCCAGGGGGTGATTATAAGATGCTTTCTTCTAAGGATTTGTTTCTGATATACGCATGTTATATTTTGGCGATTTAGGTTGGAGACGTAGAGAACTCCAAAGCCAAGCGGTGCAAAGGTGAGGACACGAAGTCAGATTGCAAGGGGGAGCGATCATCTAGTGAAATATCATCCGAGTCGGCCGGAAGTCCTAAAGTCCCACAGAAGGAAAACAACCAGAAGGCCAAGGAGTTCTCCAAGCAGGATTATATCCATGTGCGTGCTCGCAGGGGTCAAGCCACCGACAGCCACAGCCTGGCTGAGCGGGTGCGCCGCGAGAAGATTAGCGAGCGGATGAAGTACCTGCAGGACCTCGTACCCGGCTGCCGCAAAGTCACCGGCAAGGCAGTCATGCTTGACGAGATCATCAACTATGTTCAATCCCTCCAACGACAAGTTGAAGTATGTCTCTTACCCATTTTCAACGCACTGCTAATGCTATTCCATTCATGTCTTAGGCACCCTTCTTGTTATCGCTAGTGATGAATTGTAGTCTAGTATTGAGTTGTATCGTACACTTTGTTATCTTTTTTACAGAGTCTTTCCATGAAAGTGGCGTCAGTAAACCCGACTCATTCAGGCCGCTTGACGCTTGAAAGCCGCCTCAGCAACGAGGATATCATCCAGTCGCAGTTGTCTAGCATTCACGGCAGCTCAGACTCGTCAATCAACGCTGCGGCATTTGGGTCGCACCATCTTCAGCAGCAGTCGGAGCTGCTCCTAAACGTTTACTGCGGCTTTGATCACTTGCAAGCGAACTTGGGCAATTGCTTCGATATCAGTTCGCACCACACCACCAACCCTCCTATAGGTAGGCTTGCCGAGATGCAGAGTATGGTGCGCTCTTTCGACAACAATCTCGTCTCGCAGTCTTCTGGATGGGATGGCTCGCCTCAAAGCGTCAATGTGCACATGGGACAGCTGTATCAACAATCTGGCCACCTCTGATCATACTAAACTCCCTGTGGGTCGCATGGAGGTGGAGTTTAATAGATGGCAAAAATTTCCGACGCTGTGTCTGAACCAAGATCTGGGCTGCAGATAACAATTTTGAAGAGTCGTGTACAAAAATTACTAGCTGGTTGCACAAATGTTCAAAGCGATGATGCTCTGCTGAACATCATAATCGATCATATGGATGACAGCCTTTCAAGACCACGCAACTATTTTTTCGTTGCCGCAGAATTTCCAGGGCTCTGGCTTTTGTGTAGTCGATTAGGTTCCGTTTTAACCTAGATACCCGCTCATGTGTGACTCGAGCCTCCTCCAGTAACGGATGAGTCTTCTCCGGAGCCTTGTACAAACAATTACCATCTCTATGGCATTGATCTCGATCTTTTTAGGGCATATACCAAGCTTGTTGCCGGAGTGTGAATATAAACAACAGCCTCTTCTAAAAAACTCCTAATTCCTATTCGGCCGAGGGCATTCACAATATTATAACCTACTTTTTTTTCTCTCCTTAAAGCATGTTAATATCAACATGCACTTATTTGCACACGCCTCTGTCACTGATTGTGTTTGTGAATCCTTTGAGGTACATGAACTCTTTGAGGTACATGAACAGTTTGAAACCTGTCTAGAAATTGGACGCCTTGCCCCTCAGGATAGTCTTCAGGTAGTTTGACTTGGCGTGCGACTAAATAGATGTGATGTACAAATCCATTGAATTCTGATTAATTTAATATAATTCAATCTGTTAGAGAAAAAGACGCATGTCAATGTCATTGATGATCGCGCTTACCGATGAAGATATGAAGCCCTCGTCTACTCGGGGGTACCGATCTGTGGTCTCAAGTCGCAGCGAGATTCCCCAGAAGCGAAACTTCAATGCAAACCAAGTTTCAAATTAATCACGGTAGAAATCTTTGATGAGACTAATTGTTTCGATCGACGAGGGCCCTTCGATGAGCAAGGAAGCGTCACTCTACAGTCGGTCTTTCGGAAATGTGGGTTGGGATGAAAGTAGAGCATCTCTGCAAGGACGAGCCGCATTGAAGTAAACATTTACTATAAGCAGGCGAGCAAAAGCAACTTGATGGATAGAAACTAGGTGTCCGAGAAAGTTGATGGAAGTAAGAATAACAAGATTAAGAAACATGTCATGGAAAATGAGACAAGAATTAAAATCAACCAAATCTTAGTGCTGATTGATCTTTGCAGATGGGTTAAAACTTTAATAGCTAGAAAAATATTAGGGTTTAGGAACAAAAGTGTAATTAAATAGAACTTGAATATTCTTTTAAGTGGAATTATATGATCCTCTAGATCCTTGATACACAAACAGTAAGTAATAACTTATATACAAAACAACTCCAATGTCTGCTCAAATAATACAGTGTTAAGACATTAGCAGCTTATGATCCCTATCTTTATTACCATAAGACGACACAATTTTCTCCGAAAAAGTGACCTTTTTACTAAGAAAACTAAACCAGTGCACTTGATAGACCCCGATGAGCGTCTTCTGGAATCTTCATGAAACTTAATTTAGGTAGATTCGAGTGGAGATTGGCCAGCATAGGAATTAGCAAAGAGGGCTACCAATAATCCTTAATGTGGCTTGCCTTGAGGCATCAGCACTTGAACCAATCTGGCAGAATCTACAAATCAATTTCTGAAAGGAATTATTCCCAATTTATCAGATCAAAAAACGAGCCATTCAGTGCTTCATTCTATGAGACACAGTTATCGAGGTACTAGTACTTCAAATGCTGCTTCTAGGAATAGCCGCTCCGTTTTTTAGTGTTTCTATTCTGAAAGAGGCCACGAGGTAACATTCGGCTGTTGATAAATATACATTTTAGAAAGTGATGGTGGCTGCGCAAACCAAGACTGAATGCGCAGGAGGTATTTCTCTTTAGAGACCCTTGCTCATTAACTGGGTGGCTCTTGTGAGAGCGGTTCATGAAATTAATCAGCTTCCTATGTTTACCTCTATGGCCTTCACCATGCATAGCGAGAGGCACCGTCGGATGAGGCATTTGAGCCGTTACTTTGCAATCTAACGGCGACACTTGAGTTCTAAATACTTGAGCTGGTTTAAACTTTTAAGAACCGCATATAGACCCCAGAGGGACTGAAGCCATGGTAACTCAGCAAAAGTCTGAAGAAGCAAGCTTGCTCTCAACAGAAAAAAATTCGAAACTGTGTGTGTGTGTGTGTGTTTAAAGATATATATATATATATATATATATATATACATAATCAGAATCTGCACCTGAATATAGTACTCTGGATTTATCAGAGTGACTAGACGCTTAACAACTTCTCTCCATGGAAGTAGAACCCAATATTCTAATCCCTCGCCAAAGCACAATCTCCAACATAGCTCAAGCGGCTTAAACCTGTGCTGCTCAGATAATAGTTTATCTCCGCCTGCACAGATTGTACTTAGTTGCGGCTTTTTCAAGGTAGATCGCGATTCCTTACAATCAGGGCTGTTCACAATAAAATACTAGTATTATTGCACAATTAGCACACATCCGCAGCCTCCACAGGTCTACATGTTGTATGATTCCGATGTTTGTAACTAACATTCGGACTCCCCATCGCCGCAGCAGCTGCAGCAACAGCCAGCTAGCAGAGGCGGAGCGTGCGCTGTGATCCCCTCATATCCACCTCGTAGCCTGGACTACGAGATCTAAACCTCTCACAGCTGCAGCAGCAACAGCCTCCCTCCCATACACACACACACATACACTCATATCATCGCTCCCTTCCTGCCTCCCTTGCTCGACCATCACCACCGTAGTCTAGCCATGCCGTAACAAATCCTATGATATAAATTTTATTTTAAATTTAAATTTATTTATTTTTAAAAAATGTCTTGATGTTTTAAGATTGCATTATTTTATAATCTTGTAATTCAGTATGATAGATATAAGTGAGTGTTTAATGTATGTATGTATGTATATATATATATATATATATATATATAGTTCAAATTTAAGTTTTTATTGGAGAGGCTTTGTTTAACTAAGTGCCATGAGATTTAACTTCTAATATTAGATTTTATTTTCTTATCTATAAAAGCTTTGTAAATAATCACTAAATATGTTTTTATAGCTTTGAAGAAGCTATTTTATACCAAAAAATATATAAAATATATATTTTGTTGTGTGTGAATATAAATATATATATATATATATATATATATATATATATACACATAAATATATGTATAAAATTTAAATTAAAAAGAACCATTACTTTATTTGTCACCATGTTGATAAAAATATGATCAAATTTGAAAACTACATACATAATTTAGAAGAAATACCTAATAAGTTTTAATAAAAGTTAGCTTAAAATATTTAATTTAGTTTTGAAATTGTAAAAAGTCTAAGAAATTTATGTATTATTTAAACCTTATATGAATATATATTAGTAAAATTTGAAGATTATTCTTCAACTTTTTTTGTAATATTTTAGAGTATACTATCATTCAACTTTGATTTAGAAGTAGAATAATATAAATTATACTCCATAGATTTTATCTATTATTGAACTATTTATTTGTTATACTTTATTATTCTAAAAACCAATTGATATATGTTTTTACATAAACTTATAAAATCCTATTGCCTAAATGTGATTCTATTAACAAAAGTAAGTACTTGATAAAAAAAAATACAAAGGTACAACCCTCATCTAATTTTGTGCTACTTTTATTATTTTTATGATCAAATATGGTCTTCAAGTTATGATATTATATCTTCTTTAAACATAACATTTTTTATTTCTTTTATTAATCTTGTCTACTAGATGCTTTAGAAGGGGAAATAAAATCATTACAAACAACTTGAAAAATTTAATATGATTTTAAAATTAATGAATTCTTATAGAATTTTTAATCTTTGTAATTTTATGTAATAAGATGTAAAGTTATGTGGCTATTCAATTAGAATAAAACACATTATTTGTTAATAGGTATAAATTATTAATAATACTGGTTTATTATATATTTTGCATCAAATATCTTTTTAATTAGTCCAATCATCTCTAAGTATTATATTTTATTTTTATTACTTTATTTTTTTATGCATTAATTAAAGATAAATTATTTTAAATATTAAAAAATATATATAATTTCTTAATATAGGTGGTTAATATCTCTTATTTATAATTTAATTTTTATCTAAGCTATCATGTGCCATTAAGTATATAACAAATATTCATTATCTTTTATAATTAATTAGTAATCTAAGTTATAAAGTAAAAAAATGGGAGTAAAGAGAGGCAAACATAAAAAATTAACAAATCTAATCTATTTATAATAATATTGAAATTTTTATTTTTATTCATGTAGTTTTTTCAAAAAAAGCTCTATATTTTATCAATCTTAGATCACCTACTAAATAAGTGTCTTTTTTTTTTCTTTTTTTTTTTTTTTTAAGTCATTTTTGGATTTCAAGGAGTAAATTTAGTATACAATAAGTATTAGACAAGATGTTCACAAGTGCCAAGGAAGATTATTCTTGTATACCATGAAAGATTTCATAAGTAAATTTTATTAAATTGTAGATTAATGCAGATGTTGCAACATAAATACTTTTAATAAAAACCTCTAGTATCAATGTAATGTGTTGCAATTTTGATATTAAGTGCATAATCTTTGTTGGCCTTTATAAATTCTAAGTGTTTTTTTGGTAGTTTTTAAACTTAATTCTGTTTAAGGTAATAAATTAAATTAATGTATAAATTGTTCTTGAAATAAGCAAAAAACTTGTTTATTTTTCATTTTCTTTGAGGCACTTCAAAAAAATTTAATAAAAATGAATATCTTTTTTATTTTAATTTTAGTATACTTGATTTTTGAAGGAAAAGAAGGAATTAATCAAAGTCCAACCTTGTGCCTTTTACCAAACAAGCAACATGCTTTGTTCTATTATAGATACACATGTGGCCATGAAGGGGGTTTGGGCCATGGGCTTTAATTTACATGACCTTTTGGGCTTTAATTTCATTAGAGTATCATTTGTTGTTTAAAAAGTCAAAAGAAACATACCATTTGGAGGGAATAAGAGCAAATGAGTGTTGGAGTGCCAAAGAAAGCATTATTTCATCATTTTCATATTTGAATAAACAAAGAAATAATGATCTTTTGTAAGATTTTAGATTTTCAAATATAAAAAACTGATTTATTTTTCTCAATTATCTTTTCATATTCTTTACTTTTTAAAAGGAAAAAGAAATATATATATATATATATATATATACGCAACAAGTTAAGTAAGAATAGGGTAAATAAAATGGTGGGTATAACTTTATGTGGTAAAATTTGTGATGGAAAACAAATTCTAAATCATCTCTATCCTTTTCAGCTTAAGTATTTAAGATTTATAAAATGAGTGACCTTATTAATTTATTCGAAAGACAAAATTTTAGTTTTTAATTTTGCAAAATAATCACTAAAATTTATTAAATAATTATTTATTTTAAATTTTATAATATATACATGAATATGTAACAAAATATAATGTACAAAAATAATGATAATTTTTTTTATTTTCACATTACTAATATTTAAGTTATCCATGTTCCATTTTTAATACTAAATTCAAAATTTTAAAATTTTAAAATTTAATTACTCTATGATAAAAAATTCACTAATTTTAATCAATAATTTTTATTTTTTATTAAATTAACTAACTAATAGAGATTTTAAAGTGAATCATTTTATAAATTAAATTGAATGTATATACAACTTTAAAAATATGTTCATACATATTCTTTATTTATATAAAGTAGATTCCTATTATTTTTTATGTTTATTTAAAGCACTTACATGTTATTTATACTAATAGTAGATGCTAGAAATTATATTGAATTAATTAATTATTAATCAATTTAGAGTCCATATTTATAATATATATATTTATAATATATATATATATATATATTAGAAAATCCATAATTCTGTATATATTAGAAATTTCAATTACAATTGTAAAGCCAAATATTTTGGTACAAAACTTATAAAGATCAACTTAAATAATATTTAAAAATATAATAAGTAAAAAACATATATAATATATACATATAAATTTTAAATTTAATTAATTAAACAACCAAATCAATAAAATATTTAAAAAAAAATTAAGAATCTCATTTATTCTATATATATTGTATTATTTTAAAATTAAATTTACTAAATACATAAACTTAATTTAATAAAATCTATTATTATCACCTGTATTTAAAAATACTAATTTATTAATTTACTTATTTACTTATAGTTATATATATTTGGATTAAAAATAATTAATATGCATAGATATTTAAATATAAAATAAATGAATCTTATACACTTAATTTTATTTTTGTTTGTAGTTTATTTTGTTTTATTTTATTTTTCAATTAATTTATTTTTTTGATAGTTGCTAAATAAAAAAAATTATAACCATGTATTTTACAAAAGACTAAACTACACACAATTACAAATAATTACATCAAAATAAATAAATTAATTAATTTTTAAAATCATATTTGAAAAAACTAAATAATTTTATATATATATATATATATATATATATATATATATCTTCTTTGAATTGTGTAATACGTTAATAAATTTTATTATAACACACATGTTATTTTTGTACAATTTAATTACAACTTGTAACAATTATCAGCAAAAGTTATTTTTTAGTACTTTAAACTCCATTATTCAACATGCAATCCAATAATTTAAAAAACATGTATATAAATACATCAATCAAAGTATAAAATATATGTTTTTAGTTTTTTATGTATATTTACTTGTAGAAGAAGAATGCATACATATTATTAAATAGAAATTTTTATGATTTAAATAACTATAAAATAATCATTTGTACAAGATTCTACTACATAAATTTTAAAATGATTTAACTAAGTTAGTGATTATTTATTTTATTTTATTTTATTTGTGGCAAGTTTAATAAACAATTTAGCTTTATTTGTAATCTATTAAACCATAATGTAGAATAGAAGATACTTGTAGATGTGACCAGGTTTAATATCATATTTATAAGTATAAATGTTATTTTACTTTTTAAAAAAATTATATTAGCTAAATCATGATTTGAAATCTGAACATTAAAAAATGTATATTTTTATGCAAAGAAAATTAAAGAATAAAAACATAATTTTTATATATTAAAAAACTAAAAAGACTTCTAAATGGCATCTCCAAAATACAATAAGACTTGGAAGCCACAAAATCATTAGATTTAATTAAAATTAAGGATTAGATTTTAAAATAATATTTTGTTATTAATATTATTATTATTATTATCACTGTTATGATAGTATCGATGTAACAATCTTAATACTAAACTAGTCTTGTAAGTTTTTTAATCAAATTCAATTCCTAGCATTTCAATCAATGACAATAATAATTTATCTTCTAAAATTAATAAAATTTAAAGACCTATGTTAGAAAAGTAATACAATTATTACCATGATTAAATTATCTGTACCAAAACACATTAATTCGTATTTTAAAAAAATTAGAGATTAGAATTTATGTAAGAAAATATTTTTTTATTTTAAATTTAAATTTAAATTTATTTACTTATTTTTGTATAAAATGTGCATTTTGAAAAAAAATTATAAAAAATATGATGCATGTAAAAAACCTAATTAGAACTTGTTCACCTTTCATGCTTTGTCTTTTAAATATGTCTATTTTTTAGATGTTTTAGATCTTTGTTGCAATCAATATAAAAGATTTTCTAATGAACAATAATTTTTAATTTTGTAACTATTATTTATATTTTATTTTAAATAATTGAATTAATACCTATAACATCGAATTAGCTCTAAATTAGTTGAACTCTTGTGATAATTCTTTTTAAAAATAAAATAAAATAAGAATCATAATTCATATTATAAGAATGATAAGTAATTCATTAATATACTAAAAAAATAACTTCTAATTATGAAGATATGCAATTAGCTTTCATCATTTTAATAGAACTTATTTCTGATGACATTTTAGAGTCACAAACACCTTAAAATGTGGTTATTGTTTTTGATATGATGAATTTAAGAAATAAAAACTCAGTATGTAATTTTTTTAACCAATATCACAAGTAAACCTGAGTCTATGTGTACACAATTGTATAATTCTGTACATATATACTATGCTACATTATTCAACTTACATAAATATAATTTTGCAAACCAGGTATCAATCTTACCTTTTCACTACATTGTTTAACATATATAAACACAATTTTACAAAACGGGTCTCCAACTTGTATTCTAACCTTTTTACTTCATTTATCAATCGTCTGTGCATATCTTCAGATTTTGTGAATAGGTTAGTGATGGGCAACCAATTGTTGGAAATCCCTAATAGATTGGTAGGAAGAGTACTAAGGTTGGATTTTTTTTTAAATATAACAAAATCAATTTTAAGCAATTACACAGGGTTAAGGGTTTATTAAAATGTTCTGTTACTATGAACCATTAGCATTTTCTGCTAATCCAGTGCCAAGTACCAGCTGGGCACCTATGCTATCACGGCCGTATGAAGATATTTCTCCAGAAATGGTTTCTTTACGAAACCAACTATGTCTCATGTAGTTATTCCACAAAATTCTAAATCAGAGGGTCAGATTAAATAAGAAATTACTTACACTGATTATATTACTTACTACATTATCAACTATTATACTCAGAGATAGTCTTCGAAGGTAACTTATTATATATTAAATTTGTGAAAATCTGTTGCAATTACAACGGATGGACCATACATTAAAGCCCCTAATGAACTTCCAACAAACGTCCTATAAACTGGGCGCCCACAGTCAAAACATAACAGAAACGCTCAACAAAGGTTTCATGCTATTATCCTTTACTTCTTGGTATCCCCTACTTCTAAGGAACATAGTCTCATCACAAATGGAGGTTCTGTGTTAAGTAATAAGATATTCCAATTCATGCAAAGCTCCAGTGTAGAGATACACACCCTGTCAAAGGCGAGAATAGTAATTTACAGGCAAATTATCCCGTGCATACATTTGAAGGTGGTGCTTGTCACTACTGGGTCGTCGAACCTGGCCAAGGATGGATTCTTTCATCCACGTGGATAAAGAGAGAGTAACTATAGGAGGCAAAAACAGGGTCGGCACTTTTGATTGGAAAAACAAAGGCCATCATTGGAACTCTTAGTTAGCTCCATTAGTGTGCAAGGATTGGAAATGTGACAAAGAATGATCCTTGACGAAAGGATGATGTCAAATCTAGTCCCTGTGAGGTGCTCCTGCTGGGGCTGGCCTTGCTACCAAAACTGTGTCTTCAGGGAAGAGCGCTTTTATGATGCCGGGGGTCTTCAAAATACGACGCCCGGTCATCAAAGGGTACACATCCTCCAAAAAGTAATACGCATGCCCTGCAGCCATTCCCTGAAATAACCAAAACAGATCTCAGAGTATTACTAGGTTATTCAAATCTATGCCGTGGTCTTCTGTTTGTTACGGGAAGTATAGACACAAACAAGCAAATAAGAAGAGTCGACTGGGTGGTTAAGGTAAATGGTGACATAGTGAACATAAATAATCTTTAAGATGCAAACACTTCCTTTTGGCCTGACTGTCTAGATTTTTAGGTGCATACCATGTACTATGAGATATTAACATACTCAACCAGCAAAACTAGGTAAGAAATTATAGAACCGATGATGGTATGTGAACGTACCAAAAGGTCTACCCATGGACTGCTTCCAACCATAACCGAAAAGCCCAAAAGAACCTGCAGATTCCATCGTAACCATCAACTATAATCAGACAATGAACTACAAACGAAATAGTAATTGAATTTGTTCCGAGTTCTCATATCCAATTTCGCTCCATTTTGCCTTCCTTTATTTTCAACACTTACCATTAAAAAACAACAGACGCTAATTAATAATCTCTACAAGCACAAAAACATAGCTTACCCAAGGTAGGTAAGGAGCTGTGAAGCTGAAGAGACCAAGAAAACTCATTTGTACATGAGGGTTGCGCTTACTCCATACATACACCTGCCGAGTCCAGCCATATCATGAACAGGATAAGTATGATATCAACCAGGTTTAACAGGACAATTAACATTTTAAAACGTTCTAATCAAGGCAATCGAAGTTCATTCACTTATTCGATAGAAAGCCAATTTAGTTTAATACTACCCCCAAGACAACTATGCTGCAAGGTGTTCTGCGGAAAGGGAATTTTAAAAAATAAACCAAAGATAAAATTCAAAATAGAAACTTGTAGGTTGAGAACACGCACCATCATGAAAGTAAGGGAGTTGCTAAGGAAGAGTATATCCGCAAATGGAGCCGCAAACATTAACAGGCCACCACCTACGACAATGATGGTGAGTATAGTTCCACCAAATAGGAGCATAAAGAAGAAGTCTGCTGTGCGGCCACGAAACGATGTATCTTCCAACAGTTTGCAGTACCTTGCCAAAAAGAACATATGAAAGAGGAAATCCAAATCTGCAATTATACCAACTCATTCCCATCAGAAGCAGCAATTAGTGCACGGAAGGGCATAGACACATCACACCACGTCCCCAGTCCCAAATTCTTGAAGCCCAGAATCCTAATTACACAGGTCGTAAAAGGTTTTGATGCAAAATGAATAGAGACTTTGCTGGGTCCATAGTGTTTGTGGCAAAAGTGTCATTTCCAGGTAGATCAGGCCTTGGGACTCGGACACGAAAAGATAACATTAGTCCCAATCTGACACGGAGCTCTAGGATGAGCCGGCACTTTCGTAGTGTGATGCGGCATTTTAGAAGCCTTATGTGAATGAAGGATTAACCACAAAGAACTGCATGAGCATCTGGATGCAGATAATTACCGAGTTTGCCAAAGTAAAAGAAATTGGTAATGAGTCTCCAAACTTCATAGTTGTGTATGATCAATTTAGAATTTAAGTACACGTCAAATGGTGAAATCACCTGCAGGCACAATCCAGACAATAATCGTTAGATTACTAACATCCCTTCGCAATCCGCAACGCCGTACAAAGCTATTTAATAAAGATCAAACGAAAAAAATTAGAGTATAAGAACGTGGAAAATACGATAAATTAGCCACAGGGTGAACAACATACACTAAAGACATTAAATATAAAAAAATACACAGTTCAACTACGACGCCATAGAATAAGGCCAAAAGTGTTATGACGACGACTTAAACATCAAAACACTTAATAACAATGCTCGAAAAAATAGCCGAAATTCCGTATGATTGCGCGAAGTGGAACAAATCCTTCACCACACAAGCAAAATAAGACTCGACTGGTCGGAGCTTACAGAGAGACCTAAGCAGGGTCGAAAAGTGGCTTCTAGAATTAATTCAATGAAACAACGAAACATTACGTTCTGCTTGTACGACGGGCGGCACAGAATAGCGGCGATAACAGCGGCACATGCCTTTACCGTAATTAACCACATTTTCTAAATTCCTCTACTAGACGATATCACTAATTCTGTGTAGTAATTTATTCGATCAATACTTCACAAGCAAGCGTGAGCTAAGGGGATCCTGGTCATAATATGCTTTTAGACAAAAACGGTCCACAAAACGGGCAATGCAAGAGGACTGCACCACTTGTCCAACATAGAAGAACTCACATAGACATGGAGAAACACACAAGATCTGAGACATAACTGGCACACATCCTGCATGAGTGAACATGAACAAAGAACCATAACTGTGGCAGAGACCCAATACAAACAGTGTAGACTTCAACCCTCGAAACACACAACTACGTAAAGGAATGGAAAGGAGAAATACCTCAAGAGCACATCCAGCAGTGGTAAGCACAGACAAAGTGAGATAAGTGCGCGTGATGATGGGCATTTGCTTGTACCAGTCCTCCACCAGTTGCGCCATCCTTAACACCTCAACGGCGAGCCAAACCTAGCTTTGATATTCACACTTGCCTTCTTGATCCCCAGCCCGAATTCCGCCTCTCCAGATCTCCACCCCCTCCAGGTTCACCTTCTATTTACCCGCATAAACTCTTACCCTCACTGAAACCCCATAGCTCTAACACTTAAAAACCACTACACCACACCCTCTCACCCAAATTGCTCCCACCCCGCCTCAGGAACGATTTCCAGCCAAACCTCCCGTTATCCTAACCATCCCTCGACCACGCCAATGCCGCCAATTCTCTCTGCCACCAAGTTCCTAATTCCTCTAAAACTATTAACACCTGCTAATGTGCCCAAACGACCACCACCATGAATCCGAAGCCCCTAGAATCAATTCATCCGCGTAACCCTCGAACCCTAACCATCAGAAAGGTGATAAACACAAACATATATACCCAGTCTCGCTGGAGAATGAATTTCTCTCCACATGAATTGCAACCACTATTGCCCGATGGAAGTCCAGCAATCAATTTACCAACCTCGTCTCCCGGATCAACGAAACCTCACCGAAATGGCAATCGATCGAGCACTGCTCATCGGAAGCAACACCACTAGAATGACGAAATTCCGCGAAACTGCAAGATGGGTTCCGCGATTAGGAGCGACGCGAGCTGGTGGCCGTGGGAACAATCCCTCCCCGCTGCCTCCGATGCGTCCCGGAAGACCAGGATCGACGAGCCCGAAATGGGGTGTAAACGACGACACCGACGACGCCGACGCAGAGCTCTCGCTTCCGCCCCTACCCATTTCGCTGAGGCTCCGCTGATGGATAGATGCAATATATATCTCTCTGTTGCGAGTCGTAATACATTCATCCATGTATCCGCGTGGAAAGATGTGACGTGGACGATTCTGCTCAATACACGTGGAGAATAGCCAGTGGCGAGGTGACTTGGCTAGCGGCGGTCGGGTTGAGAACTTGGGAGCAGAGTTTGGAATAAATTCTTCTTACATACCGTAATTATTATTATTATTATATTTAATATATATATAAATATATATATATAAACATATATATATATATATATATATATATAGTTCCAAAGTATATGATTTTTTATTTGAAAAATATATATGTTCTAATTTATGATTCTTTTAAGTTACATCAACATAATTCTTAGTAAAGACATACATATCTTGAGTTAATAATAATATTTTGTTCCACTATTACAGCATTAAATAACTTGATCAGAAAAAATTGCTGGAACTTTCAAGGAAAAGCATTAAATTAAAAAGACAAGATAGTTTTATTTTTAGATCATGTAATCTAATTATATCATTTTTTAAAATTCAAATAACTTCTTTTTATGTTTTCTTTTATTCATTAAGAACTTTAGAGGATTTTTATTTATTTTATTTATTTTTTGTATTGAATTTTAAACTATACACCATAGGAAGTTTTATTAATTCGATTGAAACTCATAATATAATTAAATATAATCAAGAATTATATATTTGCAAGTTTATTTTCTTTTTAACTTTTGATTAAATTGATTATTTTTAATGTTTTAATTCTTAAGCATGCAAATTTGGTTTTTAAAAATAAATTTAGAGTTTTTACTTACTATAAATTTTAGGAAACTAATTACATATGTATAAATCTGTAAAAAAGAATATAAATTTAATTTTTAATTGTTAAATATATATATAGATATATATATATATATATATAGATATATATATATAGATATATATATATATATATATATATATATAAGTTATGCTATTAAGTATCAAAATGGTTAAATCTGAAAATATCCTTTTATGTTTCTGAATTAATAAATTTTATTTTATGTGATTATTCTCATCTTGTTTTTTATGTGTGTGAATAAATATATATATATATATATATATATAGACACACACACAGAGAAAGAGAAAGAAGTAAATTATTTCAAAGTTTAATGTTTAGATTTTTGTGCATCAAATAACATTCTTTTACACACTACAACAAATAAATTCCAGTATTTTTATCAAGAATATATAATAATGTTAAGACAAACCAATTGTTAAAGTAAAACCAGATTTGATTGGAGATATTGGCGTTCAATTTATTTCATTTACATTTTTTATTTTTATAATTTTTAATTTTAAAGAGTTTTTTTGGATTAATATAAAAAATGAAGTTATTTATTTAGTTATTAATTTAGACATGCTCGTAAGTTTTAGATTTCTTAAAAGAAAATAATTGCTAAGAATAAAAATATGTGTTAAAATAACACTATTTTTTTTTAAAAAATGTTCATATAATAAGCTGTTGCAAGTTAATATATTACTAGTAAAATACATATTGATATTTCATATATATATATATATATATATATATATATACACACACATATATTTATGGATGTATATTGAAATTATTTTATTGTCTTCAAGCCATACTAACTTGAAAGACCAAAATTGTTGTCAAAAATTAATATTTGAGGTATGATCTGTTAATATATATTACATTATTTTCTTTTGTGAATCTTTTCAAAATTTATAACAATCTAGCATGTAAAAAAATAAAAAAATTTAAATTTGTATATGTATTCTTCTTTTTTCTCTCTTTCTTTCTTTTTCATAAATATTTAACTTTTGAACATAAATAGAATAGTTGACACCTTTTACCTTAAGTGTTATTTTATTTTTTGTTATAACTTATAATTTTTTCAAACTATTGATTTAATTATGCTTAAAATGATTGACTCTTAAATTTATAAACATATTTTTTTATTTTTTACCTTGTAAAAGTGCATGATTTAAGTAAGCCAAAAAATTAAGTAGTTAAGATTAGATCATAATAGTTTAATAGATAGTTGCTAAAATATGCATTTATAAAATTAAATCAAATAAAAAAATTAATAATATTGTTGATATTAACTTCAATTATTATTTTTGAATGCTTCAAATATTAGTAATTTTGTAATATCAATGTTATATTCTACAAATATTAAATTTAAGAAATGGGTATTTAATATTTTTAACAAACAATTTTTAATTTTATAATAAATAGTTTAGACATGTTAGCACAACATCGTCCTTGTCTAAAGGGGATATCATCTCCCAATGTGTGAATGTGGCACAAAATGTTTAAAAAATTGTTGTTATATTTTATAATAATAATTGTTTTTGACCATTGGCATGCTTGGTCATGCATCTAGTCTTGGATATTTTTAGGATATTTAATTCTGTGCATTTACAAATATAATTAGAACTTGATTTTTAAGACAAAAGTGCTTGGGACTTAAGAATTATGTAGAAGAATGTGAAATTTACATAGTAAGACATTTTGAACTTGTTATAAGTCATTTTACAAAAGCATACTATTGTATTGTTATTGAAGATTCCTTATTAAGAGCACTAGTGTTATTATTTGAACAACTCTTTTTTGGACATGTGCTAGCTTTGTGCACAAGGTTTAAGAAAGATGAGTATTTAATTCATATTTATTCAAATTATCAAAAGTTAACACAATGAAACATAAATATATTAATTTTAATAATTGCATTAGAAAAAACTATGCATTACTAAGAATTGGTCTTTAAATCTGTTTATAGTCATCAAATTTGCAAGTATGTTTGTAAATTATATTGGTTGAAATTTCAAAAGATTTATTTTGAGGAAGAATGCCAATTTTTCTTATACCTTTATATTAGTAATCTTGTCTTACCTACCTAATCTATAAAATTTGTAACAACCAAAAAATATCTATTACAAAGTCCTTAATGCATAACAATTTTTACAAGCAACATAACTAGACATTTTAGTTTAAGTCAAGATTTTTATGAAATAAGTTTATTTGGATTTTAAATAATCAAATATGTCGTTTCATTTACATTTATATTTTATTTAGTAGATCTTCAAAGGCAACTATTTTTATTCCAAAAAAATTATGTAAACCTTAGAAAAAGAAAAAGGCTATAAAATTATACATTAATAAAAACAGTTTATTAATAATATTAATTAAATTAAATAATTAAATTAATGAATTCAACTTTAGTTTCAAATTATTATCTATTAAACTTCTTATTTAAAATAAACATGTTTAATCAATGAATATAAAATGATTTTTGTATTAGTATATAACTATTTTTAATTTCCAAAATTTCCAAAACCCTGTTCAATTAATTTTCAAATCCAATGAATTTATTGCAGATACAAGTAGGATTAACTTTACCAGAAGCTTTTATAGTTTATCATTAAAGTACTATGTTAGAAGAATTCAAAAATACAAATGAAAAGTGGAAACAGTGTAAAAGATATTAATTGTTAATGTTCTAGTATTCTTAAAAAAGATTATTAAGAATTGTACTATAAGATTTTACTAAAATCACTACATTGCAACAGTGGTTTACAAAAAATAATATAATCAAATGAAAACGGTGAAAGACTCAATTTTTGAATACCTTTAAACTCATTTATGTACAGAAAGACGTCTTTATATACTAAGCTTTGAATATTGTAATTTTGAATTTTTATTTGCTTCTGTATTTCACCCACATGATAAAGATGCTGCACTTTTCTTCACAATGTTCTATCATCAAAGACTCTCATAATAAATTCAACCGCGTATTTCATCGTAAAATTAAATTCTGAAGATTAATAATAAATTTTCACATTCAAAAGAGCCCAAAAAATAAAACCCTCCCCATTGCGAGAGCTATCAATCGAGGTATTACACGCTCAAGCTGCATTTCGTGTCGTATCGTCACATGTAGCTGGCGCTTCGGGGGTTTGTTGCGTTTCTCGGGATTCTGCGGGATATCGTTGCGGTTTGGTGGGCTCTGGTGATTTGCGCAGCTTGGAGCTGCTGTGGGTGTGGTGAAGTTCTTCATAATGTTTTGGCAATTACCTGTGTTTGATGCGTTTTTGACTTGTTTTCCTGGGGCGGCGACTGAGTGTAATGGAGAATTTTAGGTCTTAGCTTCTGGATTGGTTCGTGAGTATCTGTATCGCGATGTGTGAGATGTGAGGATTGGGGATTGATCCAGGGGTTCTTATTTGGGGATTCCTGGACTTTTTCCTGAGATTAGGTCAAAGAGAAGCAGAGGATTTGAATAAGGAGAGAGGAAAACATGGCTTTTCCGCGCAAGAATGAGACTGTGAAGCTGGTGAGCGCAGAGGGTTTTGAGTTTATCATTGACCGGAAGGCAGCTGTTATCTCCAATACGCTGAGGAACATGCTTTCGTCGGCTGGTTTGTGCTCCTGTGTCTCATTTCCAAACTTTGCAGCTTTTCCTTTGTTTGTTTGTGTGTGTGTGTGTGTGTGTACGCATTTCAAATTTCATGATCTTTCCATTCCTACGTGTTTTTCGGTTCTCCTTGCAATTGTGTAGGTTTCTGATCAAGCAATTTGTTATGCCATGCTATTTTGTCGTTACCTTAACTCATAATCCTCATCTCGGTGCTCGTTTCCTATCGGTGATGTGTTGTGGCTTTGTTACTCCACTATGTCACTTTCGTATCACTGAAGTCTCGTCTTTCGAAAATCAGTTTTCCCCTAAGTAATAAGATGTTGGGGGTTCTTGGACAGGAAATTTTTCGGAAACAGAGTTGGGAGTAGTGAATTTCCCGGAAATCAGTACTCCTATTCTGGAGAAAGTGTGCCAGTACTTCTACTGGTTTTTGCAATGTTCCAAGTGAGAATCTTTGCTTTTTCATCATGCCCTACAGTCAGCTCATCTTGTGTAGGAAACGCTTCTTTCAGTTCTTAATCAACATCACCTGCTTGGTTTTTTTTTAGGTGTAGTACTAATGCTGTTGTGTCTATCGTGATTCACATATCAGGCAAATGCAAATGTATGTACAAATTTCAATTGATGTACTTGTTGTTATTATGTAGTGGAAAGAAGACGGACTTTCACATTGAGCCTGAAATGACGTTGGAGCTCATGATGGCAGCCAATTATCTGCATACCTGAGAGATTCGACCGCTACACCACTATATCCTTGTCTTGTGAATACGGTTGATTAGGGTCATGTTAAGGTTGACTGTAGCACTCATTGTTAATTGGATGGTGTTGTTGGCTGGAAATGGAGGGGATTGTAGGATTTGGGGCATTGAGCATGCTCAATCCTTCTAACCATTAGTTACACTGTATATTTTGCCTGATTATTTATACCTTAGTTTCATTGCACTGTGATAGAAAGGATTATAATGGAATGGTCGAATTTTGAGCTAACTGGATGTCCACACTAGGGGGTTTTATTCAAGACTCACACAGAGATGTGAGTGCAAGTTCTGTCATTTCATCTCATATTGACCATATAGAAGTTTCTTAAACTGTACACTCATGTATGCATACTTCGTAAAAAGATGGACACGAATTATCTCAGTCTCAGCGTTGAACATATTGTGCGTCAACGCGAGAGTGGATATACTGTCGTGTTCTTTTTCCTCCCTGTTCGAAGGTTGAACCTCAAGTCTTCGCCTCTTCCATCACTTTTTTCAGCAGGCAAGAAACGATTTTCTCTTCCTTTTATACAGCGCAGTAATGTACCTTAAACGGGAGCAAACCGTTAAGTTCTATTTGATTTCTCATCTTGCTTTTGAGTTAGAAGACCAGGTTATTGCTTTAGTATTGCCTCGACTGTGCGTTGCCAGCAAGATGAGCAATCCGAAATCCAAACCCAATCTCGTTATGTATAATTTTCTAATGCATTACTTTCCCTACTGCGATTCCCTTGGTTTGTTTTCAGGATGCTATCATGTGTTATTTTATGGACTTCATGCACAATCACGTAAGAGTTATCACCGTTAAGCTGACAAAGAAAATTACGACGTGAGCACTTCGAAGATGTTGCATGCTAACAGTAATTGGAATATTTGCTAAGGCACTCTATTCCCATGCCATGATTGATTGCAGAAGTCAACATTGTGTCTCATTCTGAGAGTAAACACGATTAGTGAATTGTTTGAAAATTGATTCCTTCTTGTTGCAATAATAGTTATTGTATACACTATATCAAAAACTGAGTCGAACGGATATTCATCATGCACTGGTTAAAAAATAGAAAGCATACCAAAGAGATAGTGGGTAATGCGAATTAAGACCCTGAAGAATGCAGCTCCTGCGTCTCTTCACGCAAGGTCAGCAACTAGTAACGTACAAATCACTCGCTAACTTTATGGAACTTTCAGACACAATATATTTGGTTCATGGTGTCACCACCGTCTAAGGTTCGTTGTGAATGGCGTTCATGCAAATTGTGAAACCCTTATCAGTGCCAGAAAGTCTCAATATCTTGCGGCATACAATTATGGTTTGCAAGATCTTAACATATGCTATGAAGTCATAGGTGAAACTTTGAAGAGAAAAATAAGAGTAACAAGCTGATGGTCCAAGCGTGGATGTGAAACACCTCATGCTTTGAATCAGCAGTTGTTTTCAGAGATGACCACATTCTCACTTCAAGTCACAACATGCGTGACTTGAACTTGAGTTAATGCAGTTGTTTTCAGAGATAACTCAAGTTCTTTGATTTGAAATTTCTTTGTATAAAATTTTATTAACAATGATTTTTTTCTGATAAATTTTAGCTATGATCTTTAGTCTTTATTTTTTAATCTTATAAATATATATATTTTTATATTAATATTATGGCACTTAATAACTCTAAATTTTAATTAATATTAGTAATAATAATAGAAAATATATGTATATATATAGGCCTTAATACAAACAATTATTTTATATATTTAAAAAATATTTCAATTTTCTTAAACAACTAGTTTAAAATTAATTAATTGCATAATTTAGAAAAAAAATTTACTATTAAGATATTATCAAGTAAAAGAGTTTAGATGATAAGAATATCTCTATTTATTCTAAGTAAGTTTCTATCATCTACTTCAAGAGTGTATTGTGTATTTCGATTACATCCAATTACATTGTAACTTTCTTCATAGTGTACCTTTTCTTATAATTTAGTGTTATGTACAGTACAAAAAGTATTATTTTAAACTTTTTGTAATAGTGTTTTAATCAAAAAGGTAATAATCATCAAGTATTATTTTAAACTTTTTATAATAGTGTTTTAATCAAAAAGGTAATAATCATCAAACATAGATTTTTAATCACATAATAATGTCAAAACCATGTTATATTGATAAACATAAAACTACATCTTCTATCCATTCTAATAAAAAGTAAATACTTATCATATAATTATGTAGAAATTAATGATTTTTTTTTAAGATAGTATTTACCAGAGATTAGTCTAGAAATAATAACAAATTATATTTAAACTTGTAATACATTTAAGATTATTACTTTGTCCAATCTATAAAGTATTAAAATAAACTGAATAATTAGAATTTGGTTCTAATATTATTGGCATTATAGATAGTTATAAACTTGTATATATGCCTATTTAGGAAACTTCTATTTTTTCTATATAAAAATAACTCATATATAATAAGATCTATTATTCTTGATTTTGGTCTTATAGAAATTACTAAATGTCCTACTAATGATTTTAAACGGGATAATAAAAACATCTATAATGACCATCTTATAGATTTTTTAATAAAATGAATAATTATTTTTTATTAGATAAATTTTCTTGTACAATTGTTGATTTTTTTGAACGTCCTAATTCTTCAATGCATTTTTCCTTGTATCTATTCATGTATTGTAACATTTTATTATTGCCAAGTGAGTAATTGCTAAAATCAAAGTAGATTATTGATGCATTTTTCTTGAAATAGATCTTTAGCTTGCACTTAATGAACCTTGTCTTGTAATTTTCTACTTACTTTGTAAGTCCATGGCCTTGGCTCTAAAGATTCTTCAATCTAAAGTTGAAAAACTTAAAGTTCTTTGTAAATCTTTTATTGAGTCTTTCTATGACTTAAAAATAAGTTGTATATAGAATTTCAATTGTAATCTATTATTATAATATATACAACATAACTTTATGGCTATTTATAGATTTTAAATAATAAATTTCTTTTATTACTATTTAGACTTAGTAAATCTATTTTATTTCAGACTACCGTAACTACCTTATCTTTTCTAAACATGGGTGGCTACTCACCTTGTCTTTTTATACTAATTATCTCCAAATTCTATCTTTCTAATCATTTTCATACTAACTCTTATTCTTCTTCTTTTAACTCTTTTTATACCAAGTCTTTTCTTCTTATTTTAACTCTTTTTTGAACCAAGTCTATTTCTTATATTTTAACAATTTATTTTAAAAATTATTTCTCATATATGGTATAAAATTTATTATTTTGTTTTTTTTAATTAGATTAAATAGTTTTAGAGTTAAAATTATTTTAAAAGATAATTCTAGGATTGATTGATGTTTAATTTTTCATAAGATTTGGAAGTCATGTAGTTTTTTTATTATAATAGATTAAATTTAGAAAATAAATAGTTGCTAACAAAAATATAAGTAGTTGCTAGAAATTAATTTAAGTAGCATAAATAACTACTAAGACCAATAATTTTAAAAATTATGTAGTACCAAGTATCAAGTATAAGGTAAGATTTTTATTCATGTTATTGATTACATAGTTTTATTTGAACTGATTGTAAATGTAAACCTTTTTTCATATGACTACTCTATTTCTTTTATTTACATGATTTAGTTTAGTCCTTATGATATCTAATAAAATTATGTTATATGAAATTCAAATTGAATTAGTAGCTGAGACAAAATTTCTTTTAATGTGAATTTCAACTATATTTTCTATTTTTAATACGAGATAAAATATTTTTGAATTGGTATGTGCTAATTAATATTCAATAAAAAATACAACCATCTAATAATGATTTTAGATAAACAACAATATATATTTTTTGAATTAAAGCTGAGTCTGGAGAGAATTTTCTAACTTATCAGGTTTTTTACCTATTTATGTCTAAAATACTAAAATTTGAAGTTATTTGTATTATATTAAATCTTCATTGAAATAAAACAAACCATTTGACTAGAAAAGTATTTTTTTTAAATCTAAATACTAAAGTTCTTTTCTTAATCCAAAAATAAATGACATATTTGAAACACCCATCTTGAAAATATTAATTTATTTATAATACTAAATCTAATTAATTCTATATTTTATCAATTTTAAATCAAAATCTCAAAAAATCATAATTAATCCAAAAAAATTCCTTAAAAAGTCTCAATAAATCCTAAATACATCCTATCAAATCTTACAAAAGTCCTAGATAAATTCTACTAAATCTTCGTCAAGTTCTAAAAACATCCCAAGTAATCCTAAGTAATTCTATATAATTGTGAAAAAATCCTTAAAAAATCTTGATTAAATTCTAATAAATTCTAAAATAAATTATAAAGAAATTATAAAATAATAATATTAAATACTAAAAAAATTCCAAGAAATTACTATAAAATTCTAAAAAATCTTTAATAAAATCAAATAAAATTCTAAATAATTTTGAAAGAAAGTTATAGTAAATTCCAATTAAATCCTATCAAACCAATATAAACTCCTAAGTACCAAACATCAAATTCAAAATCCTATACTATTTTAATCAATTACTAATTTTACATCAAATTTTCTTGATTTTTAATTAATTTATTTATATTAAGCTCAAGAAATTCGAAAAGAATCATATTTGTAGTTAAAAAAAAAAGTTTAAAATGATTTTCTTCTTCAATTCTATATCAAACTCTTTGTAGTAAGATTTCTTTCTTTTTTCATCAATTTATGCTCAAAATTAGTATAAATTTTAGATTTTAAATGAACTTCTATTTTATAAAATTTATTTAAATATTTTTTGAAAATAGATGATATCTTTATTGACTTTTAACTTATCAATTAATAATATCCTAATACGCTTAATTTGAATAACCTTAAATCTAACCAATAAATTAAGTTCAAATCTAAGATGCACACTTAGTACAAGTATATGTACAAACCTACAAAAATTCTACTGAGTATCTATTACAAAGTTTATAATATTGTTCAAAAGATAGATTTCAATTCATTGATTAAAAAAATATTCTTAAAATAAATTCTTAATTTTTTTATTTCATAAAAAATCATTAGAAAATCTCTTTGTACAATTCTAATATATGTAAAACCTTTCTAGAGTTTTATTTCTAATATGAATTTTTGATCAAAAAGGAATGATGGATTTGCCAAATAATTATATTACAAAAGAACTTGATGGAAACTATAGTAGAAAATTACTTTAAAAAATATACATAAAAGTTAGAGAGGTAGTAAAAATAATTTTGTATTGATATTATTTTATTATATTAAAAAAGGCTTCTAATTATTTTGTAGGGTTATGAATAAGACAAAAAAATAGTAGAATAGCAAAAATAATATTATAGATATTTTAAAGTAAAAAATAAAGAATATTATTTTACAAAAATTAGAATTTGATTTGAATTAAATTAAAATATATTTAGGATTTTTTAAAGATTTTTTAAATTTTTTAATAAATTCTTATCAACTCTTATTAGAATTTTTAAAGATTTATTTGGAGTTAATTTGAGTGATATAATTTTTTTTTAATTTTTAAAGATTAATAAGATTTTCTTATCATAATTAGAAGTTTACTCAAATTCATCAAGATTGTTGAAAAAGTGTTTCTAAATACCTTGTTCACTGTTTTTGGGTAGTAAAACAATTTCAAGATAAGATCAAATCCTTCCATAGCTAAATGCCTCGTGCATTTTCAAGTTGATTTTTAGATACTGTGATATCATTATGTCCATTAAATAATAAATTTTTATTCTTTTTTAAATCTTGTATATTATTAATCTAAATACTTCTACTCATTGATTGGCTCTTAAATCAATTTAATATCGAACTTTTAAATGTTTAACTAATAAAAAATTACTAGTTTTTAGAAAGTGTACTTTGCAAAAATAATAATAAAGTATTACTATAGTTCTTATTATAATTTTTGTTAGTCAAAAGAAAATACAACGTAAATATTTTGATTCTTAAATATATATATTTTTTCTCAATCTAATTATTCTTGCTAATTTGTCTTTAGATCTTCTATCAATCAAGAATAACTTCAAGTTCTTTTAAATATTATTTTAGATACTACTATTATTATTTTTAGTTATAGTCTTTATTGTTAAAAAAATTGAGGTAAACACACACACACACACACACACACACAAATTAATGATTTCATTCTACAAATACATCATCAAATCAATATAATTCAAATTATGTTCATTTATACTTTCATATACATACATACATACACACACACATACATACTAGTTCTAGCTACAATAGGGATTGATAACCTAGACCCTTAATACAGGCAGATCCTCAACTTGGACATTATCTAAAAGCAACCCCTTGTTGAAAGAGGGCCTGCCGTTAATTCCCACCCACAATAGCAAAAGATTCTCATCCCTTCTGTTTAAAGAGGAAAAAAGAAGCAAAAAAACAAAATTTGCAAAACCATTCACCTACAACTTCCCACCAGCATCGATAAACGTGGCACTCTTCATATCAATCACATGAAGATTGGTATGAACACACTGCACCAGCTGCTACGTCGGCAATATATAGCTTGTCTTGCGCATATTTTATTTATTTTATTTGTTTATTTTTTTATTAAATACATACACAAAGATCTGGCTTTGGGTTCGGATGTACACCGATTGACACGATCCGATTGAGTACACGTCAAGCAGGCGGTAGAACATTTCAGAAGCGCTCTCATCCTTGTCGCTGGTGCAAGCTCTCAATTGTATGATTATCCTTGTGCAAGGAAACAATGGGCACTTTGCTTACTTGTAAGGATCTCTATCTCCTGTTTTCTCTTCGAAACTTCAGTTGTAGCGTGTATCAAGCATCTCTTTCGACACTCTGCTGATCCTGACATGTTCTGTGCACACTCACTGTATGAAGCGTACATCCAAAGCGTGAGGAACTATTTGATCCAGTTGATGTAATTGAAGTAGGTATGGACATCCAAGATTTTCCGAGAATTTCTGCTTGCGTTAGACCTGTGAGTCATTAGGTTGTTTAAAATGTAGGATTACGCATACTCAAGAATAACCAATCACTCTACTCAACTTGTCTGCGATGGAGTCGGCATTCAACACACCGCTTACCGCGGCAAGCAGGCGATGCAACATAAAACACAGACACAGTTTAATACTGATCGTACAGAAAACCATGATAAGTAATATATTACAAATCTTATGTACACTAACAATGGAGGACTTTCATCTCCAAATCCTGAATATAGTATCTCATGTATTGCACACGCTGGAGTTAACTTGGATATACGGGAAAACCTGCTGAATGGAATCAGATGTGTATGAAGTCTTTGAAATTATGTACAGTTTACTAGGTTCAATTCCTCACTTTGCTGCCTGTTGGATGGAACATGTTGCTCCGCGCTGAAACTATACCTTGTATATATGCAGTTGACGGTCCTGCATGTGTAAGAATCGACAAATCTTTTTGAAGGGCTAAACACCCAGAGTATATGAGTAAAAAATTTGTGATGGAACCTTATGTGTGGTGCCTTCATGAAGGTGAGCCTTCTTGCTGCCGTTTTTGCTCTTCCTGTAACAGGTCAAAGCTCTTGGGCAACGGAATCACGGTCCCATGGCGTGAACAACATTCACACGGCTCATCGCACACTTTTCCTGGCCACAACTGCTTGGGCCATTGCCTCTCCATTTCTTCCATGGCGTGGTGGATGGCTTCCTTGGCTTCCTCACTGGCGCTCTGTAGGACATCATCATAATTTGCGTTAATTGTTAATGCTCTGAATGAGAACTCGCAGTGGAATTGTCCTTCCTACCTAGAACAACGAATTGCTGCAACGAATTATGCATGACAATAGAGAGGCAATAAGCGGTTTAAAATGAATACCTTGGCAGCTTCTACCAGAGGACCCCAGCATTCCACACGGTTGTATTCCTTGACATTGGAATGGAAGTAAACCCACACCATGGCGTTGTCTAAATCAGGGTAAGTTTTGAGTAGCTCCTCATCGCCATGTCTGAAAGCCTCTAACACTACCGGCAACTCTTTCCGGAAGATGTAGAACCGGAGATTCGCGATCAAGTTGTGCAGAAAGTTACCGCCACTGATGTGGCAATGAACATGGAGCGACATCTTGCCCTGCACTCGCTTCCACTCCGCCACCACTTCATCCCGCTGGAGCTTGCTGTACCAGCCCTTCAACTACATCAACCAAATCAGAGATCAGGATCTTGATCCGTGTCCCACTCTCAATTAGCTCCAAAACCGAAGCGCGCACACACACGCTCAGACACCAACTCCAAAACATGTGTCCATAAAAATTTGACTTCCAAGAACCAGACAATCGCTCAACTGGTTTCCATAAATAGATCATTCCAATTGAATATTCGTCGGCAGTTAAGTTGATACCTGTGCTTTGTTGATCTCGCTGGAAATGGCCAAGGTGATCTTGGACGTTATGTCACTATGTGTTAAGGTGTAGATGCGAGGGAGCTCGTCTGGGTGCTCCTTGTCAGCACCCAGAAAAAGGGTCTTCAGTTTAGCAGCTTCGAAGAGAGCGGGCCCAAACAGCCTCGCCTCCTGCAATTCATCGCCCCCAACCAAAGCAAAACAGTCAGACAAATGGCTGAAACCACTTCAGTTTCACACCGTGGCGTACCATAGCTTTCCTTATCCTGCACTTCATGATACAACAAAATTTCCTACAAAAGTAGTGAGAGCTGTGTTTTCAATCTAACCAACATGAAGGAATTCATGAACAGCGGGATGGCTGCCGAAGTGAGAACCCTGGCTTCTTACCACAACGAGACGGGACCCAAGCCGGGGCATGGCCACAGAAGGACAATTCATCTTCACCAAGAGCCCGCGCCGGCTGCCCACGCTCCAGAACTGGGACACCAAATTGTCCGCCTGCGTCTTCAGGCCAGCTTTGGAGCAAAGCCTCTCAGATTCATGCTTCATGTGGGCACAAGACACCATAGCCGAAACTGGGTGCGTACCGCGGGAGCTCAAATCTCTCCCCCGAATCACAACCAAACCATTACTCGCGCTACCCACCGAAGCCAACGGCTGGCACAACCAGTTTACGGCCATGGCTGCGGAACCGCGACTACTTCACGAAATCCTCCCGCAAAGCTCCGGCAATTCAACCAAAAAATCTGTACTCACGTACCTAACAGGACACAAATTCGCCAGCACGACTCAACCGGACTTCAACTCGACTCAAATGCAATGAAATGCAATCTGGCAATCTGTTGCACTGGGTGGAGGATGGATGTTTCCGTGGATTCTAATGCTTTCGACGCACGTAAGCAAAGCAAGAAAGAAAGAGGATTCTGGTTGGGGTGCGGGGGGGTTGTTGCTCCTCCTTCCTTGTTGCGTGCGAGTGAGTGTGACTGAGCGAGGCACCCGGTGTCGTGGAGCCACGGCAATCAATGCAAGTAATGCAATCAGGAAAGAGAGAAAGAGAGTGGAATGGGGGCGAGAAACATGTCAAATTCTGGAAGTAGTGGACTCAACCGAAAAAGTTCCCCTTACAATACAAAAGTGTCCCCCCTCCTTCCCTCCCTCCCTCCGGAGACGTACCCACGAAGCAACGCCCCCTTCGTCTATATTACTATCAAACCTCTACTATTCTACTACTCTATTCCTCTATTGTGGGGAGATTCACTTCCAACATGGTGTTAAGCTGCATGTTGCATGTTCACACTGTATATTAGAACTTGTTTTTGAGAGATATGTTGCTTGGAATAAATAATCGTGAAACAGTTCATTTGTATTCAAATTATTAAATTTATATTTGTGTTTTTGTGTTGTTACTTATTATACGATCATTGTATCTTAGATTGTGATGTATACTTACACTATAGTTTTATATGTTAGGTTGAGAAGTTTTTCCTTGTTGTAGACAAGGAGGGTGGCATGAAAACACTATTTTAATTAAATTAATTGCAACAAGAATCCATAAATCCTTATACATAATAATGTAATAGATTTCAAGATTTAATTATATCTTGGTCTTATTTTTGGAATTTTTATTATGAAGTCATTTTTATTTTTATTTTGTTAAAAATAATATAATTAAAAATATATATTAAAATAGATTAGTTTATGTTTTCTTAGGATGTCAAGTAGTGCTCCATTTATATGAAAGATCTAGCATCTATTGACAAGAAATCCTTAATGCCAACAAATAACTGCAATTAATGTGGGACTTAGGTTCAATTGCCCCAAATATGCAAAATTTAATAATTTTTTTAAAAAATAACCAAAAAAATAAAATTTTAAATATTTATAAATGTATGCATTTAATCAAATTATCATAAAAAATAAATTAAAAAATATTTCAATAAGTTTTACAAAAGATACTAGATAATTTTATAAAATAATATTAAAGCATTAAAAAAGAGAATATTAAAATAAATTATTTATTAAATTGATCCATCCTATCATAATCAATATTAGAAAATAGATTGTCTCCAAAAACTATCATTATGATCATGGCCTTCATGTCAACCTCCCTTATTCCTAGCCTACACTCCTTCTATTCCTAGCCTTCTTCATCTCAATCTCCTTCTCCCCTTCCAATTCTCTCCCCTTCTTCCCAACTCTCATTCTGATTCCTCTCATTCTCTATAATAGGGTGGATTAATTTAGTAAATACATAGATCATTTTAACATTTATTTTAAAAGAGGATGATTCTAAAATATTATATAATATAAAAGATTTTTTATTATTATATTAATAAAAATAGTATTTTAAAAAAAATCTTGTTTAAACCTCTTGCTTTAAAAATCTTCTAAAAAAAATATACATAAGACTAATATATCTAGATCTTAAAATTTTTAACATTATTTACATATTCTTACTTATTGATAAAAAAAAATAATTTTTTTACTAATCACTTTATTAGTCTATAAATAAATTTATATTATTACATAAATGACTATGATAATTAATTTAATATAATCCACAAATAATAATTAATCTCAAAAATAAGACTTAATATAATTTAAGATATTATATATTATAGAATAAATAAATAATAATATTTTGGATTAATTATTCATATAAATATAAAAAAATTAAGATTCTAATTTTAAAAAATAAATTCTTAAATAAAGACATAATAACCATATTTATTTTCCATATTAAGACTACAATTATAAAAACTTTTTTTTTTAATAAAACTCATTTTAAATATTTTTTAATTATATAATAGTCAAAGATTGTTTATTTTAAATTATATATATATATATATATATATATATATACATATACATAAGTTATTAAAGCCATATCTAATGTTGTTAAAAACCACACCTTACATTACCATCTCACGATCAATTCCATCTATTGTTCCCAATCTCCATCCCTTATTCCCTATTTCCTAAACTAAATTATCACATGATTTGAGGGTGTGGCTTTAACAACTCCCTATATACATTATATTAAGATAAATTTATGATATCATCAAATTTTTTATATTTTTAAATCTCTGCACTATTAATATTTTTATTTTTCTACAAGATTATATATATATATATATATATATATATATATATATACACATTCATATATCAAAATATATATATATATATATATATTTTTTATAAAAATGATTTATAATATTTAATGACTTAGAAAGTTGTAGCAAAATAGTCTAAACAAACTTAAGTTTTGGACGTATAAAAAATAAATGAACAATCAAAAAAATATATGTATATATTTATCAAATTAATTAGAAAATTTTTAATTAATAAAATATTTTAATACAAAAGAACCAAAATAAAATGATTTGATTTTGTTATGATATTTTATAAGATATATTGTGATGTTGCAAAATAAATTTACACAAAAATTATTTTTAAAATTAATTGATATCTAATAATCAATTTTACCTCTCTTTTTACTATTATATGTGATTTTAGAATATATTAATAATATTTTAAAATTAGAATAATGTTATAATATACTATTATCATATTATAAAATATAAATATAGATTTATTACTTTGTATATCTATTTATTTTTTATTAAATATTAATATCTATTTACTATTTATTACATATTGAATTATGAATCAATAACCAATATTACAATAAAATACAATATACAATACTGAATTATAACTAATAACGGAGTTAGTATTCAACAAACCATATTGTTTTATATGTCTATTTATTAAAATCCCAACTCCAATAATTCAGAATTATACTACAATTTTGATTAATTAGTCCAATAAATCTTAATTGATTTGCTACTAAAAACTTTAACCAATATAACAATTAATTTCAATAAGCTAATTTTTTTAATACCAAATTTATACTTATATATTAAAATAACACTAACCAATATTTTGTATCAATTATATTTTAGTATAGTTTTTGATTCAAAGTAATTGTAATACAAAATTAATGTATGCATATTTCAAATTGGTTCATGGTTTTTTTATTATATTAGCTTTTATTCTATATTAAAACATGTAAGATTTTAAATATTTTGGAGTATATATATATATATAAAAATTCTTTTAAAATAATAGCTTAAACAAATAAATGATTAGATGAATTTAGATCTTTGAAAACATTTAAAAAAATATCTTTAATCAAAAGAGGTTCATTATCTACTTAAATGGCTTCATTATAATAATAAAAAATTATTAATACTTTAATATAGACAAACTTAGATATTGATCTTAAAAAAATAAAAAAATAAAAATCATATATATAATAATAATATATTTATTATAACTATTATGACTATATTAGATGTTGATATTTTAGATTAAAAGTCTAATTTTTTAAAAATCCAAATTATCTTAAAAATCGACATTTAAAATATTTTAAAATAAAGTTAATATGTACAAAATTACAAAAACTATCAAATTATTAAAAAATATATAGTAAAAATTAATATATTACTAAATAAAAACTATCTATATATATATATATATACGTACATATATATAAAATAATATAATTCATATCATGATTATATTATTTTTAATAATATATAAAAATATAATTAAATAAATATAATTTTATTTTTTTTCTTACATTTTTTTAATTATGATAATATTATATTATTTGTTTATGATTTGACTAAAACTATCTAAATATTCTAAATATATAATAATATTTAAAATACTATAAGATTTTTTATAATATATAATATATATTTATTACTATTTCTAAGGATTTTTCAAAGACATAAACATCAAAGAACTAAAATGTCAATATACTCTTGTGTTACTTGAAAAGATTAGAAAATCACTAAAAGTTGATATAATATTATTAATAGAATGGCTATTGTTAAAGAAAAAAAGACTAGAAAGTCTTAAAACAAGACTAAGAACTAGAAAGGCATTAACAAGAGCAAAGAAGGCTTCACTCTTGCCTCTATTTATACTCTTAACTAGAATCTAAGTGACAATGTCCTATAGGACTTCCAAAATGTGTTGACTTTGCAAGATACATATCTTAACTTACAAGTTAAATTTTCTATACGTATGCCACATAGTTAGCTTGTTTTGCAATCTATTAATATGTGGTTAACTTGTTGACTAAGTTTCTAACCTACCAATCAATTACAAACATATATAAAGTCAAAGCAGCATCTATGAAGCTTCTCTAGAAATTATTATGAAATAAATTTATTTTTATCTACTTTTATTTAATTATATAGGTAAATGTTAGAATAAATATGTATGTCCATGACATTACTCCCCCTTCTAGAAACAAGTTTCATAAGGAGCAATGAGCATATGTTGAAGAAATTCAAGATGCCACTAGTTGTGTTTGCCACATATTTTGAACTTTGTTTTCTTCAAAGATGGCTGATGGGTCCTTTCAATCATTGATAGTAATCCATATTAGGGCAGAAAGACCATCTTGTTATTTGAGTGTTGTTGAAACTTTTGTAACTTCCTTCAAATAAAACATTTGGAACTTTGTTAAGAGTCATTTCCATCTCTAATAAAATCACCAAATATTGAAAGTCTCTTCCAAGGTCATAATACCAAACATGTTATATCTTACCATCTATTTGAAAAAAGATATGATATTTTTTAGATTTTTTATCTCAATTATGTCATCTTCAAGATTATAAAAATTATAATGTTTCTTTTGATAAAACAACAAATGATAACTCTTGAATTAAATTTGCTTATTGTTGATTTTTCATCTTCTTAGCATCACAAATATACAAATGTTACAAATAAGAGTAGAAGGTAGAATGCTATCTTTCCTAGTCTTATTTTTTTTATAGCAAAGATTTGTTATTCTTCATCTTAGTTTTGATAGATATCGTTAATAAATAGCCTCAAACTTCTTTAATGTGTTTACAAGATTCTTTTTTGGCAATTATGTGTATTCATTAATATCATATCAATACTAATGAAACAAGGTATTTTAACCTATTTTTGCACTGCTTTGAATCTAAGACTTCTTCTACCTTAAACTTTTGATTCTTATCTACTTCTATAAGAAGAGGTGGCATT